TGATGGTTCTTTCATACGTACTCATCCACTCAAGAGACTGAGTCGATCCACTTATGTAGGTGGTTTTACTATCTCCGCCGGTCACATAATTGAGATTGCTGCAAATATCAGCAAAGTCTGTGTGAATTTTAAAACTTTTGCCCCTTTATACTACACGACAGCAATCTAACATCAAAGGGCAAACTAATTGTGGCTTCTTCTTCGCACTAGCTTCCAAGTCATGAAGTCATCCACACACCCGTTGAAGCACCAGACAGCAGTTTCCTCATATCGGGACGTCAGTAGTGCGTGTGCTTCTTCTCCATCAAGATGCGAATCCATGACAATTAGCAGCTCACACCGCTAGTCAGCAATTTATACCATTAAGCCCTGTGGGGCGGCGGTAGACTCATTTAGCTCCAAGCTGACTCATTCTCCACTGCCATGCAAGTTGCGAACCTCGCAGAGGACAGGGTTAGCCCGGAGAATCATGGCTTCCACTAACGGCAGTCACGTGCAGCACTACATTTAGATGCTTTTAGGGCGAGTACTTTGCATGGTTGGTGAGTTGCGTTCTATCACAGTTAGCTTATAAGTCATAAAAGTGCACCGCCATCCCTCAAGGCCTGGTGCTCTAAGTTGCTGGCTAGGGGTGCAAATCGTTAATGGTTATGGTTTTGGATCCTGGTGTAACCGACGGGTATGCAATACTGATGAGTCTCGGTCGCACGATACGACCGGCTAATGCTTTTCCGGATTTGTGAAGAATTATCGGATCTTGTAGCTGCTGTGGTGAACCTTCAATTGATTACATCAAAAGTCCGGTAATCATGTGTATAGAACAAAGTGTATGACACTGTGGTACGGCTGGAGCAGTCGCAGGCCATTTGCATTCTGAACACTAAAAACCTGGTCACCTTTGTTTACTGATGCTTACTGAGTGTTGCTTACATCTCATGAAAACACCGTGTGGCAATACGGAAGTTCGTAGACTGCTGTTTGGAATTCAGCTCCCAGAGGCCTTACTAGAGTGCCGGTTAGACCAGAACCATTCGCGCTTGTTTGGGGTCATGGTTTTCGCACACTTACCAACCGGTTTCATCGCCATGTTTGTTTTTCAATACTGCTTATTGTTCGAAGAAACTACATAGTGATTGACTGTTGATGTGATAAATAGCTTTGAAGAGACTGGTTGCACGCTTTAGGCGAATACACGCCCTGTGGTCGGAGAGCCTACTCGGAATAGTCCAGCCACGGAGCCAATGGCATTCTTGCGTTGAGCCGTCAACATTCCATGATGACCATTACTCATCATCGTCATCATTATACACGTCAGCTAGAGTAGAAAAGACCTCAGCTGTTGCGCCGCAACCAACTTTGTTCGCTTTTTCTCGACGCACTTTGTAAACTTGTTCTCCGTGCTTTGCCCCATTTCCCTTGCCAATGTTATGTTCATTAGGTAAATTTGAGTTATGGCACCTAGATCCATGTCACTTCGGTGTTCAGTTCAATATTATCCGACTGAACAGAGTTGAACGTTCCCAGTGAAGGTTTAAATGCTAGCTTTTTGTGTATGGAGCTTATATTTCGACTGGCTTGGTTTTGCCGTACAACTCAGACGTGAGTACCGCTCAGATGTGGCCGAAGCTGACTCTGCGCTTCTCAACTCATTTTCCCATTTTACATTAAATCAGAGGTCAACCTATCCAAAACTACCCTTTTACTTCGGTCCATTTTGCATGCGTCACACTCGCTCCTTTTTGCAGCACTTATTCCGTGAACTACAAGATGGAAATTTACCTCAGAATAGCAGAGTACTATTTGAAGATGCGAGAAGTTCCCGAAGCTGAGGCCTACATCAATCGAGCCTCACTGCTCCAACCGGAATGTCAAGACCAATATTTGTTGCTGCGGTACAAAGTGAGTCGGTTGGTTCCTCGCTCGTAGGTATCAACCGCTTTTCCCCAACCTGCACATCTCTGTGTCTGGAGTACATTGGAGCACTGGTTCAATCCACACGCAGTGTATCCTTTTCGACCGAAAGCGACGATTTCCAGGTTCATCCTACCTGTTTGCCTCGCGGGATAGTTTCTGATTGATCTACCTGGTGTTGGTGCTCGTACTCCGGTGGTGCGCAATGTTTTTTATCCAATGAAGCGTACACTTCTATGCTATTATTCTAGTGTATTCTTTACTGGCGGAAATGTGTCTACTGTTCAGTGCTGATAGTTCGGTGTAGTTCCGCAACTCAGATCTGCTTCAAACGCCAACTACCACTGTTCACTTATGTAAAAATGAAGGAGACGCAGACGAATAAACAGACAGATTTAACAGGAATAAAACTCTTATCCTCGTATATAAAGGTGCATGACCAGGAACAATACACCGAGCCCAAAGTTTACGCTGGCTTCTTAGCTTCATTATCCGGTTGGATTGCCATCCAGTGATGTGGCTTGTCTAACAGCCGTCACGCGACCAGCTGATGTACACTCTTTTGTCATGTCGTCGGGTAAGTTACTCTTGGATCTCACTTTACCACTAACAGTCAATGTGCATCAACAGTGCTGGTCAAGTCCAACAGACAGGTTAGTGTGATCCCAGCAGATTTGCTGCCCTCCACGGTAACCTTGCTGTGTAGTACGCTGTCTCACAACTCAGCCGTTCAACTGTGATAGTCTGGTTCAACCCATCCAACTGGCTTGACTCACGTTGCTGAACGATAAATAAAATAAACCTGTTCACTTTTGTTGAACAACTATAATCTGGGCACTGAAGTGGGATGGATTTGGTTTCCACGACTCACGTCACACGATTAACACGAAATAACAAAAGTGAGGAAATGGAATTGAACGCTAGTAAAATACCAAAAAGGACTATGTATGTATATGCCTCGTGTTGCGGTTTATGTGGTGTATACATCTTGATTCTTCACCGCAGTCGGGGCTACACCGACTTACACTTCAAATAGCTCTTCTTAGTCGGGATAGAAACTATTCCGCCTTATTTGTGTTGCTTAGTTCTCTTATTCTGCTGCATTTTGGGTGTCAATTTTGGGTGTTTATTATTTTCCTATTATGCGTTCACTGTTTGGTATCCTCGGTTTGTCTGCGCTTTATGTGAATGATAACAAGATGCCTACCCTCTAGTTGGATTACCGGTTCCAGGAGGTTGCTAATCTTTATGAAAGGGTGACAGGATGCACAGTCATCGTGACGGTGGTGGGCTCCATCCAGTGTGGGGTGCACTACAGCCCAACCACCGTCTGGTGCACATGATTCCCTACATAGATAGACAGAAATGCTGCTGCTGTGCATGTTGAAGGAGTGTGGGCGGGCTCCGTTGATGAAACATGACTTCCATCCGCATGACTCCCGGTCTTATTCCTTCCGGGGTTACGCTGGATATGGTGTGTGCGAGTGGAGCTGTGGGTGATGCCACCAACCATATACTACTTGACAAATAAACTATTTTCAGTGTGCCAATCTGGATGGAATGAAAGTTAACAGCCAAATGATTTTGCAGAGCGCGGATTTCTTATGCAGTGGATAGCTGTTTCAGTGCCATGTAGCGATGAAAATAGAAAGGAATAAGTTTTGTGTAAACGATTGAAAATCCGGCCGCTTATGAGAGGGATATCGTTATCTTCCTGTTATTACACGTCCCAGAACGGACGAAGAGGTAATCGCCGATAGTACTCCGCGCACATAGTAGCCGATTGAATTCGGATCGGTACGGCCTAACCGCTAGACTTTTGCACACACGAGCTGAGACTGGAGACAAGCTGCACAACCTTGCATGACTGTACTGAGACACAGGAAACAAAGGGTGGTTGGTAGCAAGGGTTTGTTTATTGACTCGGCCAGAGGCCAACACGCCTTCTACACTTTCATATTTATAGCTCATTTGCATAGCTGCGTAATGCTTAAGCTATAGAGGAAGAGGAATGTCGGCAGAGCACATGAGTTGCCACGTAGTAGTAGTGTCCTGAGGAAAACTCAGTTGTGTCACTGCATTTTGAGACGGTAGATACAGCAGCTTAAGTAGAAAGATCTTAGCTGTAAAGAAAGAAAAAAGACATCAGTTATATGCCGGTGCGCGGTATTGACGTTCCGCTGCTACGCAACCACCGCCAGTCAGTGGGGATCGCCCACACTTACTCGGATTCGAACTGGCTACCTCTGGACTTCAAAGTAACCTCATTTTCGGCACAGCTGCGGTGGGTTTCTCCCCCTTGGCCAACGTATATTGATGATGATGACGTAGCCTTATAGTCATTTAGACGCTCGGCCGCCTGTGCAGTTCGAGTTGACTCATAACACCGTCCATTTGTTACCTGTATAGTTTGGTTTGCTGCATGGTGAGAGTATTGCTGAGGTGAGTTCAGGCAAACTCTGTACAAATTTACGATACTGTGGGCTTCGCAACACATCCCCAATTATTCTCCGAATGACCATACGCTTCTGCTGTGTAGTGCACTGGTCACTTCTGATCAAGAAGACAAGACTTTCGGGTACCAATTTAATAGCCGCAAGATGACATTTATCTAACATGTTTTAATGGTCTACAACGAACCATCAGAAACCACGTTTATTAAAAGAAGGTATGGTTGTCGTTCGAAAAACAAACACGCTACGAACTCCGTAGTTTTCTCAGAGGGCGCGATGCTTCCAGATTACCCAATCCGAGGTAGGGAGGTGACTTAGGAAACACTTCTAGCTTTTTGTTGAATATCCGACCCAAAAAGCAGCAAAACGAAGTCGAGGAATTGCGCCCATTGAGAGCCGGTGACTGATTGCTGCTTTTGCTTAGTTGTATATTTAACACGTACCAAATCCATCCCAGGCCAAATAAATGACAAAGATTTGCGATATTCGTGGAATTCAGTTGATCTTGGATGTTCCTTCTTATTAGATTAATAGGAATGGTAAGAGGAGGTTCGTTAACATTCTACTGCCCATCCATTGAAATTAATTGGCGATATTCTGAGAAGACGACCAAATTTTGTCAGTTCAGCACAGTTGAACAACTGTGATCCGAGCACCTAAGTGCGGTGGATGCAGTTGCCACGACTCACGTCGTAGCAATAACCATAAATAACAACGGGAAAATGGTGGGATTAAAGAAAAATATGAGGTAAAGCAAATGGAAGCAAGAATGAAATGCGTTAAACTACTCAGAATGGAACGAAACTTAACAACCAGATGCAAGAAATTGAATGCAGGAGCACCACTGACTGCATGACTGCGCCATCTCCGCAACGATCTCTAACCGTCGGTGTGGACCATCTCGAGGCTCCCATCCACGAAAACAACATGCACCAGCTTGAACAAGTCTCTCAGTCAGTTTCTTCAGTCTTCTGTGCCACGTCATGGAACCGCCGCTTCCTCGTTTCGCCCAACTTTGTGCAACCACATTATATAATACACACCGAGGCAACTGGTCAACGGATATAGGGAGTACATGACCTAGCCGACTTAAGTGAGTAAGATTCAGTAAACACCCAAGTGTGGTACCAGAACATATCTTGCCAAAAACCAATTGGCAGACCTCAGCATTGCTCACTCGGTGCTCCCACCAAATGTGAGCAACACTCCGCAGACATCAGTGGTCAACCACAACCAAGCGTTTCATGTCTCCGCCTCGAACTGGCCAGGTCTTTGGTCCACACTGTGCGAACGGCCTTAACACAGTGTTATACACCCTACCTTTCACGGACAGGCTGAGATCCCGCGGTTTCCATGGATAGTTTAGCCTCTGGAAAGCCACAAGGACTTTGCTGATACGCGAAGTAACCTCATCAGTGATGTGACCATCAGAGATGACACAACTGCCAATGTACATGAATCGATCCACCAACTTCAGTGGCTATTCGGTCATAGCTAGAACCGGAGGTTTGTCGGTCTAGTACTACAGCAGTACTTTGCACTTGGAAGGTGCAGAACACATGCCGAGGCGTGCGGCGCTACGCGTCTGACCCAAGGAGACCTATCTCATCCGTTTACTTTAGGTTTGTCATTCGGTTTCCTGGTGGAACTTCCACTCCGATAGAGTCTGAAAGGACCGAATCGTTCATGATCATTTTGATCACAATGTTGAAGAGGAAAGGAGATACAGGGTAGCCCTGGCGAACCCCATTTGTCTTGGGGAATTTAATAGACAGTTTCCCTTAGACCGTTATTTGGCCTCGGGAGTCACGTTAGAGGCTGAATAATGGAAATGAATTTATCTGACACGCCCTTCATGGATAGGCAGTGCCACACGCTAACGCGGTCAACAGAGTCGAACGCGGCTTTCATGTCAATGAAAACCACTATGGTCGACCGTCTGTATGCGTGTCTGCTCTGTAACTTGACGAAAAGTAAATATGTGGTCAATATAACCATGACCTGCTGATGTACTCTTCAAAGTGTTCCTCCCAACGGGCTAATCGACGACGCTGAGAATGGATCAACTTTCCGTCTTTCTCAGCTATTATCTCGCTAACTGATGATTTTCTTGGACCCGTGTTCCGGATGACCTGGAATACCACTCGGCTGTCCCCAATAGCACGGGCTTTCTCCATTTCACAGGCCTTTGCCATCCATCAACGTTCCCCGCCGATTCTAAGACCTCTTGTGAGACGTCGTTACAGAGAGTTATGGACACGCTGAAACTCAGTGCCTACCGAAACCTGTTTCCGTGCCTCGATCAATCTGATGGATGCCTCAGAGCTCCACTCACAGCTACGACGTCTCAAGTTCGGTGCGCAGCCGGAGTCGGAGGCATTCTTCTTGGTACATTTGAGGCGACCTTAGTCAGCGTTCGGCTCGCCAACGTCATTCACAACTGACAACTGGTGGGTCAGTTCATCATGATACTGTAGTACTGTGCATTCAAGTTACAGGTAAGATGGTTAGAGAATAGGCGCTTTTTGGAACAGGAAGAGTGAGCGCTAAGCGTGCGCGCACTAGAGCATTGTCGGAATCCAGGCAGGCGCTCCAAATTAACCGAAAGTCTTGGATTGATGTGCGCCATCTGTATCTGATGGCATTATGGTCAATTTGGGTTCAGCTCTTTGAGGAATTCGGTGGGCGCCAGGTGACGCGGTATGAAGCAGTGCTGATTAGGTAAACGTTGTGGTCGGCGCTCAGTTGCGGGAGTCAATCACCGTTGTCTGTTGGGTGTGTATCGATTCCGAAGCGGCCTCCAAGGTGTTGTTTAGTCTGAAAGACGACCCGCTTAGGCATTCATGTAACCAACAGCGATCACAATTGGAAATATTCTTTGCAATGCCAACAAGCGATGTGAGTTCACGATAGAAATAGTCTATGATACCTGCTGAACTGCATTCAATAGCGGCACGATCAGAGGCGATGAAAAGCACCTTGTCTTCAGACATTGCTTATTAACTCCAATAGAGGTCCTAAGTCGAACCGCACACATGCGGCTGTTCATCGGTATCCAGCCGAGCGCATTACCTTCAGCATGTTTGCTGATGGCGGTAGCAACATTAAATACCTTGAACCGTTGACTCAGTATCGTCAGACGTGAAGAATGTAATCATTGTCGTCAGATACAGAATCAGGGAGTCTAATATTCATCACAACGCTGTTATCTTGTATGCATGTTTCGGAGACACAGCACATATCAATACCAAGAGCGTGATGAGTGAGTTATTGCTGCCTGCTGGTGGATCTGACCTAGAGTGCAGACGTTGAGAGAACCAATGTGAAATGAAACTCCAGGTTTCATGGACTAGTTCCATCCACCGATAGCAGCAGCTGCGTGGGCTTCGGCAGTCTCTTTCCCAAAAGAAGGGGAGATGAGAGTTTGGAGGGGAGAGAAAAACAAGAAGAGGACGTATTGTCAACGTGGTCGAGAGGGCAGGTGATACTCTCTGGCTACCCGTTCCGAGAGAGAGGTTTCGTTTGAGGCGCCCTATCTCTAGCCTTCGACTCCACAGTCTGATCTGCACAGCAGTAGGGTACATGGTGGTTCGTTTGATGGACTTCACCCGGATCCTTTGGCTCAGTAGGCTGACCCGCAAGGTAATGGGGAGCGAGTCCAGCTCCGGAGTATAATTGCAGTGACCTGTTGCGATCTGCTTGCGGCCTGTCACATGCATCCTTTAACGATCTATTGCAATTCATCTTTGTTTTTCGACGTACTATCTTACCCACCTGCGACCACGACGAGCCGCATGTGGGAGTTGGCGGGTTTGCACCAATTTGACCAATGGGTGTCTGACTTGAGGCAGGCGCTAACAGACCATTGAGCGTCTGAAGGTGCCCTTCCACCGACAGAGACAATGCGTGGCAATCGTGCTCTACGTTAATCGAGCTGTGAGCTTACAACCCGTAGATCTGTTGTCTACCATGACTAGATTTTAATTGGAAAGGGCCACGGACCTCTCCCTAACCTCCGATGAGGACTGGATTTGATTGTGGGACTGAGTTAGTGTGAAGGCTCTTGGAAAATGCCACCCAGTGTACCTCAGTGGGTCACGGAGGTACGCAAACAATCGCGCCACGTTAAAACCCAGTCTCATTGCGATGAACAAATTCCGTATTTTAAAATGTAATCGTTAGGTGTTTCCTTCTAATATAACATCAAAAAATGGAGTCATTTCGATGACACAAATGTTAAAAGTGATGAGATAGAACATCAGTGATACACGACATATAGAATACCTATCAAATCCAAATTTAAAAGACACCTACCTTGGAATTTTAATAACATGCAGGCGGGCGCCTTGAACATAACGTTCAGCAATTCCAGGCGCATAGCAACAACGGATACTGTTTCGAAGAATTTTAATTGTATCTCAGCGTGTCCTGTAATAAACGACTTTTACGGAATTCGTTCCATTGCTCTCTTTACAAACTATACGTACATCTGCTCCTTGTTCCACATGTCATCCAGCCCTTTCTCTTATTTTGTTTAGACCGCATACACCCACTTGCTCGACTTTAAGCACAAATTCCTCGAGGCCGGGCAACGCTATGCGGAACTGTCTATCCGATTTCCATGGTTGGATGAGTCTGAGCGCTTGGCATTTCTGGAGCGTGCTCTCGCCGCTGCTCTTCTTGCTGGCGCTGGACACCAACGCACTCGTCTTTTGGCCACGTTGTATAAGGATGAACGATGCCAAAGTTTCGAGGCGTATCCTTTGTTAGAAAAGATGTAAGTGAATTATAACAACAATGCTAATTTGTATTCTCGGTTTCACGAGACATTGCCCACTCCGAGGTGATCACAATTTTACCATCATGACACACCATTACAACCACGGAATGTGGAGTACATGCATTAAACTACTGCATGGGCTGTAGCAGATTTTAAAGAGAAAAGGAAACAGTCAAAGGCTCAGTTGAAGTACTACGGCCATTCGTTGAACCGTCTTCCCCTTGGATCTGCTTCCATGCAGGGTAGTAGTCCCCTTGGCAATGTGTCATTGTGGCTTAAAAGCATACAAACCATCACCACTTCGATTCATCTCCCATGCCATTTTCATATGCGATTAGGGTGGACACCGACCATTTGGCCCACTTAGCTCCTCGGAGTATGTAGTGCTTTTTTGCCGTCAATGGATTTGTGACATTTCACCTTGCTTTGGTACACTGATTAACTTAGTAGATTCGCTGTATCACCTCAGAAAATGAGCGAACTCGTGTCCAACAGTGAAAGAAGAGTGAAATAAAATAAACAACGATAACAGTAGTTGTGTAATTCGTGATCCCTTGGAGGTGTTCGATTAGTAGCCACAAGCATACGGTGTGATGCATCATAAGATAAATGCAGTTGGCACAAATAGCAAAGTACATCTCATTTTATAGTACTCATTAGTAGCAGGATTTTAGTTGTAAATCTGATGAGGCAAATTATGTAGCGCAGCCAACGTCCCCCATGGCTCAGTGGCTTAAGCGGCTGGCTAGTTGGCATCTGCCTATAGCGGTCATGGGTTCGATCCCCAGTAGGAGACCGAGGGAATGACGCGCCACTGACGAGCCCCCAATTAGGGCGAACACAGCGTCTGGCGCTTTTCCGGACTAGGCTGTGCATATGTAGCTGGTGAACTGTTGGGATTGCAAGCCTATATCAGATTTACATCTCATTTTGTCAAGTGCATACCTTAAGGAAAGGAAGGTGAGGATTAAAGGTCCTACTTTTGTCACCAGAAGGAATCATGTATGTCCCGACCATGCAGCGATTTGGCCATTTGGAAAGGAGCGACTCCCGTACCCTCTTCGGTCTGAATGAGAACTTTTCGAACAGATAATGGATTAAAAAGTGCAGGGGGAATTTTTTACTTTTGATGGTGGAAATGCCATTTCCCTATCTTTTACTTTGAATTGCTAGGTTGCGTAGGCGACCACCATGTTATCATTATTCTTCTGGTCATTCCGACTGTCCAGCACTGTTTCGAGATTCAACTGGGCATACTCAACCTTACACGTGCTGTCTCCCTATTGAGTGTGAAACGTTACACGCAGGCTGGGATACCGCAGAGTGCCCAAACCGTTTCAGGAACGGGGACTCACCTGAACCACCACGCACAGCACACTTAAATTACATCTCATATCAGCCTCTATTTTTCTACTGCTCATTGCCACTCTTGTGTGTTCCATCCTATTTCAGGTACAGGGGTCGCCTGATCGATTGTTCGTCTCTGCGCAGTTTGCAATCTCTATTCGAGAAGTTTTACCCCCACTTACTGGAGTCCACCTCATCTACTTTTGCAGAAAAACCGCCCAGTGGCTCCAGCATTCTCACTGGTGGCCAGTCTGTGCAGCATCTTCTGAAGCGCGCAGTCGTTGAACATAACATGATCGCAGCAAGCCTGATTTACAACAATATTAGCCTGGCTAATTTGGGCGATTTGTTGGAAATTTCTGCAGAAGAAGTGAGTCCGTTTTCGGTCCGTGCCGGATTTTGTCACACCCCAGCTAACTCAAGTCGTGAGCGTTTTCAGCTAGTTACACTAACACCGCAACAAAACACTGCAACATAAATATCAAGTGACGGGGAAAACAAAAAGAGTGCATTTCGACTTAAACAAACTGTCTCGCAACTGTTACGTCATTGCTGTTGGGTCGACTAAAAAATGCGGCAGATAAGATGATGTACGAGCAAAAGTTTTAACTTTTGGCCGCGTGCAAAAAGTACATGCCATATTGGATAGCACAGTGCGTAAGAGGTGAAGGGTCGTTTAGAATTTGTGCATGATAAGGTAAAGTATGCGTCCAAATGCCTGCTACTCAAAAAATCAGCGATGGATTCTACTTAATCCAGAGCATCGGGAAATAAATTTTATTGAACGCATAAGAACAGTATCCTCGTTTTGAAGAAGTCTGAGCACAATATGGCAAACTGGGAGAACATATGCGAGCATGCTACGGAAAGCGATTTGAGCCTGAGAGCCTAAAAGGATGGTCCTCTGAAAAATTTCAAAAACATGCGTCGACCAGGATAAATTTTTATACATGTAAACGTCGAGATACTTTACAGTGTATGGACGAGGGATACTTTGCCCATTCACGACCAACGGAGAAGTGTAGTCTGTCGGAGCGGAGAAAAGTAGTGACACCATAACACTTGGAAAGATTGGAGGAGATAGACCGGTCTCTTGACCAAGTCAAGAGTTTGTCTAATCCTGATTGGTATTTTGAACGTCCTTTAATTATTAATTTTTATTATTATTTAATTTACTATTTAATTCTTGTTATTAATTCTTATTATTCTTATTTAATTATTGATTATACATTCTAAGACGACGTCATCAGCGTATTTGCCTCCCATGAAACTGGACTGCATGAGTAGCCATTCAGCACTAAGCGAAAGGAGAAGGAGTGCTAGTTACTCTTTTTATAGCAACACAGTTGGCTGGGATTTCGAAGACTTTCTGCTACCTAGTTTTTTGAAGTGTGTACGATTTGTGGAGTCATGTATTAAATTACGTACATTTGAAGGATCACATTTTCGAGCAAACGTCTAATGGTGACGATCTATCGAGGCTCCAAAAGGCATTGTTGTAATCGGTGAACAGGCGCTGTACGACTTTACATTTTTCAACGTAGTTTGATCGCAGCCCTGTCTCAATCAGGCAGGTTCCTACACTTCTGAAAAAGCATCAGACAGTCGTTTCGACCTTCTGGGTCTCGTCAGTGATGCGTGTTTCTCCTACCTCTGCCCGACTCCGACTCCTTGACTGCAGCCTGCAGCTTGGATGCCTGCAGCTTGTGTCACATAAGGCATGACTGATGGCGGGCGGACCTGCATGGCTGATAGTTGACTACTAATCTAGCGCGGCTCATCTTCCACTAACCATGCCAGTTGCAAACTGTGCAGATGACAATGGTTGGCCCCCCAAATATGACTTTCCCCATAGCGGTTGTGTACGGACACAGCACTTAGAAGCTCTACAGACAGATTTTTGATTGCACTTTTTAATCCAGAGCAGATGCTATGGAAATGCACAAGATAGGGAAAGACATTCATTGTAGAACGTTTTGGCTTGTGGACAAACTGTTTGACATATCCATGGTCGCTTGTGAAAAACTGCGGCGGGATAAATGGTTTTTCAAACATCTTCAACGGCGCTGTTGTGTACGCTATTAAGCCGATACTTCGGTGACCCCTTCTTTAGCACTGGTGTTATTGGCTGCTTTCCAGATGTCGGGGATGGTGCCAAGTCGTTAAAACATCGGTTGCAAATCTCTTGTCAGAGGTGACTAATGCATCCGCGCGCTCTTTCAGAGTGATTGGAGATAGAGCATGAGGGCCGAGTAGCGTTGTTTGGCTTCAATCTTTTGAGTTTTCTGTAAGCACTGATGTGGTCAAATAAGTTGGGGAGGATCAATGATGAGGGTAGGAAGATAATGGCTAAATTTATTTGATGATGGGGAGTGGAATTCTGAGTGTTGAACTTGCCCACATCCACAGTACCGAGTGGGTTTGTCGGTGAGGTTGCTTCATGAGCCAACACAGATCACGGCAACTTTGTTTTCCTAAAACGGCTTCAATATACACACTGTTTAACCTTATCTCGGCTTTTACTAGCCGCCGACAGACATTTGACACAAGCAGTTACTTGGCCTGGCTTTTTCTCCTAACGCAATAGCTTGAGTAATGGAAGACGAACATTTATCAATCCACAAGACAAATTGAAACGAGCACTTCATATAATCTCTTTGCTTCTCTCATTTACGATGACACGGTTCTCCGTTGACGAAAATTGAAAAAGCAGTTGAAGGAAGCATCGAGTGAGCTTTACAGTATTTTTGGGGCAAGTTTTTGCCGTTTAACAGTTCCGGATGGCCTATTTTCATCACACATTGTACTTAATATTAATTCTTGAGAAATGTCTATTCAATACAGGTGGTCCCGAATTGCCAGAAAGAGCAAGTATTTTATGGAAAACAGGAATGTTTTCTGTCAAAACTAAATCACAGTATTGCGTAGAGTCTTGGTCTGGATTTCAACCGATTTGGTTTGACATAGCATGTTACTAAAGGACTGTGTCGGCATCTATTGAAAGTCACCAAAACCTTTCGGTAGATAGAATATTCTAAACTTACGTTGCAACTCATGAGATAAGTTGGTCTTCAAAACTTTCCATATCTGGCAGGGCTGCGTCAGGGCGCTTCGGCGTTCCGTATTTGATGCAGGGAAGAGCTAGTGATCCGGCTCAGCACCATTTATAGGTCACGCACCAGATTCTGATGGCTGGGTCACATGTTGCGTATGTCAGCCCACCGACTCCCGCGACGTGCGTTGTTTGCTCACCGGGAGTGTGGACGGATGAAGGGGATAGGTGACCAAGCTTTGGTTTGGTCGAGAGGAAATGAACTCCCTCACTTCGAAGTTGGTGTCGGTTTGGTGTTTCCCGACTGCGTGGCTGGGGACCGAAGAATGATGAGCACGTTTGGTTGGGTACACTAGTTGACAGGGCGATGAGTCGACCTCAGTGGCGTTTGTCTTGGGAGTCCCTTTGTCCCTCCCCTTTCCTTTAGTTTCCCCTCCAACAACCACAAAAATGTGACGTTCGCATTATGTTGCTTTTTTATAGCTTTTATGTCCGCATTGCTAAATGTTTAACTTTCTTGTATTGCGGCACATTAGCGGAGGTGTGTGTTATTCACCCTCGGCTAATGTGATTAATGAGGATGATTGATGATTCGTCAGGCGCTACCTAAACGTCCCAAACAACTACAGATAGAAAACCATTAAGAAACTGATGGCGGCTTATTGAAGCTGTTGAGTGAGCAGGCAGCTATGAAGTCGATTTGCACCAGTCCACTAATGTAGTTGATCACACATCCTCTGCTGTGCTAGGGCTTTCCTGGGCTGTCGGATCTAATATGTCACTATCCAATGAGTTTCACTACTCATGTCTATGCATAACCAATTTTCTTGTAACATCACTGCACCTGCGTTCGAAAATACTCTTCGTTGTAGAAGTTTCTCTAGATTGACAATTTCCCAGAGGAGTTATCGTACATTGCCAGACAGGATAGGCGGAATTTGTGCACTGTTAGCATGACATTGCCTAAGTCCAACTTGCAATCCAGCACTGCACATTTTCTTCTTCCCTAACTTGACAATTCTTTTGAAGCTGGTTCCGACTCAAGTTTAACATCAAGAGTCCTGCTCTGACTTTGCCGCTTAAACCTGCCTAACGTAGGCCGGACACATGGACCGTGACGAATTTGAACATGCAGACAATTCAGCGCATACGCGACGGACAGGAAACCATAAGCGCTCGGGCCTCTCTCGGAATACCATCAATCGACGCAATGGATTGTAGCGATCATTCAAAAAGCCCACGTTATCGCATCCAGATCGGATAGTAGTTTGTGGCCCTTGCTTCATGCCTAAAAGTGTCAGATCGGAATCCAGGGTAGCACTTGCCATCGGCAAGTTCCATCGCAAATGTTTCAAGCCTAGAGTGAGCTACACACATAGTAAAAGCAGTTTTAATGTTGTTCTGTTCAACATGTATACTCATGCCACTGATAAAGATTATACATTCACTATCGCCAAAGTACGAAAGACAATGTTTGAACGAATGTGGAGCACTAAAAGCGATTCATTTGTAGAAAGCGTGACAGCGAGTCAATTCCAGTTATTCCCATCAAGCACCGCATTAAAACTGAGGAAGGAGGCTAGGCATCGCGCTATAAATGCATCATCTGTAGCGTTAAATGCCAATACCACCAGTTGCTCAAATATGTCTGAAACAACCACCGCCAGTCCGATTGCAAAGAGCACGGTCAGGGCCTCGTCCACCCTCCAAACGGTTCCAAAAATTCGGAAGGGCTTCGACACCAGTGGTGGTTGGAACTTGATTGCTGTCAAAGGTGACCGGAAACCTAGACCTTCAGCCACTCACACTGGGCCCATAGTAAATGAATAAGACGAAGCTGTACCCAAACAGCCTTCATCGGCTGTATGCAAACCAGCTGGTCGCTTGATCTCAACCAGTTGCACATAGTATACCAGCGCTAATCTGCACCAACGTTCCAGAATCGATGTCAAATTCCTTAAAAGGAAAACAACTTGATGACGTGAACCAGTGGAACTCCATATGTGACACTATAGGTGTTGTAACTAAGCCCGTAACTTTGACACGCGTTATTCGTCACCCAAACTCACAGCACTACTGTGAACCAAAACTTCTCCGAGTTGTGCTGACTTCTGCCAATAAAGCAGAAGCTGTCCTGTTATTGACAGCTCGCCTCCGGAATGGGTCTTGTTCCATCCGCCTATTCCCGGATATTCCGTGGAGCGAACGCAAACAGGCGAAGCACGACTTGGAAGAAAACCGGAAGGAATCCGTAGCCAGGACCATCCTTGTACACGGTGTTCCCGAGGCTGGAAGTCATGATGAGCGCGAAGCGACCACTCACGACCAAGAGCACTGGCGGTACATTCGCGAGACCTTGGAAAACGTCATAGCGCAATCAATCTGGAGGCT